AACCTTCTGAAGTGCCTTATGAAATCTCAGGATTGCCTGCCCTGAAAGAGGAACACAGGAAGCATTAATCCACAAACCCTCATAAATGAAAAATGGTCTACACTCTGAATCATCCATGTGTAGGTACAGAGCAAGTTCCCATGGACCCATGGACAGTTCACATTATAGCATCAGAGAAGCTCTGGGGCAGGAGGCAAGAGGCACACAGCAGGGTCTTCAGGAAAAACCCTGCCAGGTTGTATCCACCTACACCTGGTAAAACTTCATAATTTAAGACAGAGGTAGAACTGAGAACATTCAAGGTGGTAACCAAGGTGTCCCATATACAACCATTGTCAATAGTTTGCTGTAACCTAAGAATAACATTCCTTCTTCATTCATGAACCCATTCAACAGATGTTTACTGAGCATCAACCCCATGCCAGTCACTGTGTCAGATATGGGGACTAGAACAGTGACAAGAAACGTAAGTTCCTTGCTCTCTGTGCTTGGCAGTCTGTTGGGGGAATCAGCATTAAATAAAACATGATAACATAATTACTGAATTATAATAGTGGTAACTGTTAAGGAGAAGTGTAGTACAAAAAAAGTTCTGCAGAGAGTACAAAGGAAAGTTTCTCTGAGACAGTAGTATTTAAGCTCAAATTTGAAACAGAGTATGTACAAAACAAAGGTAGGGGGTGGGCATTTGGTTTGGTGGTTAAGATGCTGGTTGAGAGGCCCACATCCCGTATCAGAGTGCCTGGGTTCAAGCCCTAGGTTCCATCCCCGATTTCAACTTCCTGAATGTGGGAGACTGATGAAGTTTCCATCCCTTAGCTTTGATCTAGTCCAGTCTCTTTCATCATGGATATTTGGAGAGTACACTAGTGTATGAGATTTCATTCTCTCTCTCTGTCTCTCTCGGTCTCTCTCTGTCTCTCCCCCCTCCCTTACTCTTAAATAACTATTTAAAAAGGGGGGGGGGGGGACAGAGGAGGAAGTTAGTAACTAGGAAGTGTGTTGCAGACAGAAGAGCAAGAACAAGTATCCTATGGCAGAAAATGTAACTGCCCTAAGAAAGAAGAGAAGCAGCCAATGGGTCTGAACTAGGGTGCGTGAGTGGAGGTGTGGGTATAAGCGAAGGCAAGGGAGGCACGTATAAGACACAATGTGAGGGCCAGTGCTGTGGTACAGCAGGTTAAACTGCTGTCTGCAGGCTGGTATCCCACATGGGCTCTGGTTTGAGTTCCGGCTGTTCCACTACTGATCCAGCTCCCTGCTAATGCACCTGAGAAATGAGCAGAAGATGGCCCAACTGTTTGGGCTCCTGCACCCATGTGAGAGACCTGAAGGAGGCTCCTGACTCCTGGCTCCTGGCTCCTGGCTCCTGGCTCCTGGCTTCAGCCTGGCCCAGCCTCAGCTGTTGCAACCATTTAGGGAGTGAACCAGCAGATAGAAGATTTTTCTCTCTCTCCTCTCTCTCTCTCTTTCTGTGACCTATAAATAAATAAAATAAACCTTTAAAAAAAAAGACACAATGTACAGGACCTGATAGGTCAGAAAAAAGATTTATATTTTATCCTAAGACCATTAGGAACCAACTTGAGGGTTTTAATGTGGAAACAATATGATCAGATTCTTTTTTGTTTGCTTTTTAAGAAAATCAAAACGTGCTATAAACACAAACAGCAGAAGCTCATAAATATCACACTAATATTTAAAATAAGCACAGCCTATGATTCTCATATAACAGAGGGGAATGGGGCAGCCTAGGCAAGGCATACAGAGCGCACCTTTTTGTTTGTTGATAAAGACTGAATGTTCATCTGATTTGACGCCAAGGTAGCATTTGGGTAAGCTGGGACAAAATCCCCATTTAAAACTCTTCCTCTTCTCCAAAAGCTTCAAAAGAAATTTCTTCCTCAAGACTAGCCTTCTCTGTGGGTGGTGTTGTGGACACCTACAGCGCGAGGTTTGAGAGGTGCCAAAGGACCACTCCTCTTGTTCCTCTGAAACTTTCTCTGGCCCCCAATAGTGCTTGAAATTTTACCACAGTAACTATCAGACTTCACTTTTAGCTGCCTGGAAAACTAGCAAAGAGTCCCCTACCAGGTGCATGCTGCCTTCCTGGGTCTGAGCTGGGTTGCTTTCATTTGCTCAGGGATAGGAGGAATCAAAGCTGTTTTAGACCAGAGACCATGCAGGAGCATGAAGGGCCCGAGACTGGGCAGACTGCAGAACGAGATGCTCAGAGAAGCCCAGTCTCCTGCTCTGACTTCATTTTGTCTTGAGTTGGCAACAGGATCAGTTGAGCTATATGCTATGGTATATGTATAAACACATGTGGATTCATACAGTACACACACGGGTATACTTACGGCATGTACGTAACTTCCTAACATGAACACTGCTGACGATAAGAACACATTACTATGGCCTTAGTGGTCCCGTGGCTTGGATCACAAGTTTTGTAAGCTGGAGAAAGTTACTGCAGGGCCAGGCAGAGGCCAGGAGCCAGAAATCAATCCAGGCCTCCCACATGGGTACTGTAGACCCAAGTACTTGAGCTATTACCCACTGCCTCCCAGGGTGCACAGCAGCAGGAAGCTGGACTGAAAGTGGAGCTGGGACTTGAACACAGGTTTGTGGGTTCCCTCGTGCAGTCTGACTACTGTACCAAATGCCTGCCTCCAGCTAATCTGTTTAAAGATTTAGCACTCACTGATCTGTAGCATACAGCAAGTGCTCCATAAATTTGCAACAAAATGGAGGAAACTGGAAAACATCATGCTGAGTGAATTAAGCCATTCCCAAAGGGACAAATATCATATGTTCTCCCTGATCGGTGACAACTAACCAAGCACCAAAGGGGAAACCTGTTGAAGTGAAATGGACACTATGAGAAACAGTGACTTGATCAGCCCTTGTCCTGACTGTTGATGTACAATGTAATACTTTATCTGTTTTAGTATTTTTTTTGTTCTAGTTAATACTATTGGTTGAACTCTGTAATTAACACACAATTATTCTTAGGTGTTTAAATTTAACTGAAAAGTGATTCCTGTTAAATATAAGAGTGGGAATAAGAGAGGAAGGAGATGTACAATTTGAGACATGCTCAATCAGACTTGCCCCAAATGGTGGAGTTAGAAATGTGCCATGGGATTCCAATATAATCCCATCAAGGTGGCATGTACCAATGCCATCTCACTAGTCCAAGTGATCAATTTCTGTTCACAATTGATCACACTGATAGGTCTAAGAGTCAAAGGGATCACACAAACAAGACTAGTGTCTGCGAATAGATAGATAGAATTAAAAAGGAGAGAATGATCCAACATGGGAAGCGGGATACACAGCAGACTCATAGAATGGCAGATGTCCTAAACAGCACTTTGTCCTCAGAATTGGCCCTTAATGCATTTGAATCTGGCTGAAGAGCCTGTGAGAGTATTTTAGGCATGGAAAGCCAAGACACTCTGGGGAAAAAAAAAAAAAAAAAAACTAAATGAAAGGTCTCTGTGAGTGAGATCCCAGTAGAAAGAACGGGCCATCGAAGAAGGAGGTACCTTTCTCTGAAGGGAGGAGAGAACTTCCACTTTGACTATGACCTTGTCTGAATAAGATCGAAGTCGGAGAACTCAAGAGGCTTCCATAGCCTTGGCAACTCATGACTAGAGCCTAGGGAGATTACTGACGCCATAAACAAGAGTGTCAAATTGTTAAGTCAACAACAGGAGTCACTGTGTACTTACTCCTCATGTGGGATCTCTGTCCTTAATGTGCTGTCCAATGTGAATTAATGCTATAACTAGTACTGAAACAGTATTTTACACTTTATGTTCTGTGTGGGTGCAAACTGATGAAATCTTTATTTAATATATACTAAATCGATCTTCTGTATATAAAGATAATTGAAAATGAATCTTGATGTGAATGGAAGGGGAGAGGGAGTGGGAAAGGGGAGGGTTGCGGGTGGGAGGGAAGTTATGGGGGGGGGAGCCATTGTAATCCATAAACTGTAGTTTGGAAATTTATACTTACTAAATAAAAGTTAAAAAAATAAAATAAAATAAAAATAAAAAACGTCACTGTGATTAAGATTATGTGTATGTGCATTCTTGTGCAAGCTTGTGTGTATATGCGCATGGAGGCACAGTCCTGGCTATGTAAGGGAGATGGAGCATGTTTGGGGGGGGAGAAGATGTTGCCAACCCTGCAGCAGGAGCCCCAGCTCTGTGGCCTTGCCAGAGGGTGAGGGGACCACCGGGTGGCTCACCCAGGAGCAGGGCTCAGCTTTGACAAGTGGGCGATAGCAATGGACAGCAAAGGGTCTCAGACTCCAAGGGCTTCCTATGGGCACAGAATTAAGAGCGGAAATTCTTAAACATTCATTGATTTATTTGAAAGAGAAAAGATGAGAGATATTCCATCCACTGGTTCACTACTCACATGGTCTCAATGGCCAAAGCAAAGAGCTAAGAACTCCATTCGGGTCTCCTGCATGGGTGCAGGGGCTCAATTACCTGAGTCACCTTCCCCTGCTTTTACAGGCACACTAGTAGGGCGCTGGATCAGAAGTGGAGCAGCCAGGACACGAACCCGTATCCATATAGGATGCTGGCCTCGCAGGTAGTCACTATTGAGCCATGCCGGCCCCTGGCTAGCACTTAAAAGGAGCTGTTTCTTCCAAGTGTCTGGCTTGTCTTTGTTATCATAGTTATGATGAAAGAGTTTGACCTTCTCAGGAAATCCTCAAAAAGCTGTAAGATAAACACAATCACCTCGGGATCTTTATAACTGATCTGGCTTCCACTTCTTGTAAAGGAGAAAAAGGGAGAGTTGAGAACACACACTCTCTGAGTGCTTGGTCTTGGGGCCTGGATTCTGTTTTGCCAGGAATGGATTCAGCACCAGTCAACTCCCAGGAGAGGGGTGGTGCAGGTAGGCAGCCGCCCGGCGGCGAAAGCGTTAACAGCGCCTGGTAAGGCGAGCCCTAGAAGTGAGTAACACTCGGAGTCCTCAAAGTTTTCCGAGCGGTGGCCACTGGCGACTGCAGCCGCACCGGGCAGAAAGGAAAGGAAGCCGGCCGGCCGGAGGGAGCGCACCCCTGCGCAGCGGAGGAGGGGGCCGCGTGGGCCCAGCCCAGGTTCCCGGCGCAAGGTTAGTGAGCGGCCCCGCGCCTTCCCCGGCGCCGCGCCCGCCCCGCGCGAGAGGAGTCCCGGGGAGCCGCCGCGGCGCCGCCTCTCCCCTGCGCCTGTCATGTCCGCCTGCTGATGGCGGGGGGCCACCGGCCCGCCTGCCCAACCTCGCCCTCGGCGTCCCCCCCAAGCCCTGGGACGCAGAAGGGCAGCCCCCTTGTCCTCCGGGAGACTGCCCTACACTGCAGACCCCTTTGCAGATTTCAGAAAGGAAGCTGTTTCTGGATCAGGGATTATTTGAAGAACAACTCCCTACCCACCCACACCCACACCCACACCCACACCGCACACCACACACCCCTACCTGCCTGTCTTGGTTTGAACAGGCTGTGGCCACAACCCGGAATTCTCTCTGCCTTACTTGGAACTGACTAACTCAACAGGCTGCAGGGCTTTGCCTTGTAGGAGGAAGATTGTGGCTGAGGCTGAAAAAAAAAAAAAAAGAAGAAAGGAAAATGCTTCCAAGTTCCCTGCCCTGTAGCTAAGGTGAAACATTTTTTTTTTGCGAACGGGTTTTAGTAGAAATGGCTCTTACTTTGCTAGAACGAAATGGAGGGAGGGGAAGGAAGGTGGCGGTTATACTGTGAAGGAAATAATTCTACATCCACATGAGATTCAGATAACCCGACCTGCCTACACTCTGCGTGTGATGCAAACGTAGAAGGAGGCAAAGCGCAGAGATGGGTGATTATCCAGTGCTCTCCCCAGGCAGGGGTAAGGCCAGCAAAAGGGAGCCGGCGACCACTTCAGCAGGCCAGAGAGTCCCTGAGCAGTCTCTGCCCAATCGCTCCCTCTGATCCTCGCAGCAGGCAGGAGCTGAGGCTTCCACCTGCTAGCGCTGAATCAGAATGAGTCATTTGGAACTTGGGTGCCTGAACAAAGTACTTGCAAACTCCCTTGTGAAACACTGCCTTCACGTAGGTGGGATAGGCCTCCAAGCGCAGTCACAGCTTTTCCCTCTCTCCCTGTCTCCTTCCAACAGGCAGGAATTCTGCCGCTCGCCAGAGACTCGCAAGCTGTGCCAACCTTGGCTGAGCCAACCCGGTGATGTGGACCCTGCTCCTCCACGTGGGGACTGGAGTTTGGAAATAAAATGGATGATTTGACCTTGCTTGATCTGCTGGAGTGCCCTGTGTGCTTTGAGAAGCTCGATGTCACGGCCAAGGTTCTTCCTTGCCAGCACACCTTCTGTAAACCATGTCTGCAGAGGATTTTCAAGGCGCACAAGGAGCTGCGGTGCCCCGAATGCAGGACCCTGGTGCTGTGCAGCATCGAGGCGCTGCCGGCCAACCTGCTGCTCGTGCGTCTTCTGGATAGCGTGCGCTCGGGGCAGAGCTTCGGGAGAAGGGGCTCCATCCGCAGGCCCGGCACGCTGACCCTACAGGACAGCAGGAAAGGCAGGACCAATGCCAGAAGTCTGCAGGCTAGCCCTTTCCACCTGGTGCCCAGTGTCAGAATCCACATGGATGGGGTAAGAAAGATCTCATTTGTTGATGTCACCCGCTAGAGGCTGGACTGTGTATACTGGGTGCAGGGATTGCGAACGTACTTAGAGTTAACATTTCCCCTGGGATAAGTTTGTGTAGGCAGTGATCACTTGACTGAAACGTGGTAGAATCCTGAGCCTATCTAATCTATTGCAGCCTTCACCTGAGAGGAGTCGAAGCCTCCTCAGTTGTCTGTGCTTCTTGTTCAGAAGGTCATAGGCAAGGGAAACCTGTTAGATTGTACTTCGGGTCTCTCCCTTCTGTTTGGAGGGCATGGGAAATGCAGGAAGGATGGGAAAAAGAGGAAAACAAATCCAATTCCTTGTTGCTTTTGAGATCCCTGAGGAGTTTCCAAATATCAGGGTTTGCCTTAATTTTACCCAAATCCATCTTTCCATGCCCTGCTGTACAAAGCTATTATGAAAATGCTCATTCATGATCTGTTTGAGGCTATCAAGGTACTTGGTGCCTGAGAGTGCAGGAGGGAAGCGTCTATGTGGGTGGACCGATTAACTGCAATTAATAGCTGGGCTGTGAAATCTAACAGTTGTGCACAGGATACCTGCAGAAGTGTCTCACTTTACAAAGTGAATAATACATGCAAAAAACTACACGCCTCGGGCCGGCACCACAGCTCACTAGGCTAATCCTCCACCTGCAGTGCCGGCACCCCGGGTTCTAGTCCTGGTTGGGGCGCCGGTTCTGTCCTGGTTGCTCCTCTTCCAGTCCAGCTCTCTGCTGTGGCCCAGGAAGGCAGTGGAGGATGGCCCAAGTGCTTGGGCTCTGCACCCACATGGGAGACCAGGAGGAAGTACCTGGCTCCTGGCTTCTAGATCGGTGTAGCACACCGGCCTTAGCGGCCATTTAGGGGGTGGACCAACGGAAGGAAGACCTTGCTCTCTGTCTCTCTCTCTTTGTCTAACTCTGCCTGTCAAAAAAAAAAAAAAAACAAAAAACAAAAAACAACTACACACCAGGGTTGCAATGAAACAGACCCGGTCCAGCTACATGGGAAATCCCTCAGGGCTGTTTTTCCTGTCTGGAAGCTGCAGATCCCTCTGGCCACCGGGCGGGCACAGCCCGAGGACTCCGTGTGTTTTAGCCTTGGTGTGGGATGCTCTGTGGGAAGGACGTGGCCCTGGTGAGTCGAACAGGGTGATCTGCACTGTCACAATTGGAGCTGGCATGTCAAAGCGGACACAGAAAGCCACAGCGTGAGTGACTGGCTATGCAGAAAGGCAGTGCTGCGTTCTGGAAGTCTAGAGCAAGCTTTTCTACCCGCAGCGGAGTCCCTGCCGTGAACAGTAATAGGCGGTAGGAGGGTCCTGCCTGGGACCCCTGCCCCCAGCTCAGGGGAAGAGGCTCATGATGTGTATTCAGAACAATTTGCTGGAGCTGTGCCTCCGGAGCTCGCCCTCCCTGGGCCGTGCACCTTTCAGCCACCCTTGGGGTGGAGGCCTGTGTGAACTTCCGAAGGCAAGAGCAGTTTGCTGCAGATTTTCATTGCCACTGCGCTTGTGCGCTTGTGCGTGTGAACGCATTCCAGAAAGGGGCCTGGCCCTCCTCTTTGAGCACCTCCATTAGCCCTGGTCTTGTCATCAATCAGAACCCACAGGCCTGGAAAAGGTGGAGCGGGCGTGGAGGAGCCAGCTTTTCTCAAATATGCCTTGTTTATAGAGAAAAGTACTCTGTCTCTGGGTAGCAACCCCCCTGGAATTCCTCAGGCCCAGCAACCTCTCCGCCCCCACTCTGCAGCAGTCCGGCTGGCTTGTCTCTCAGTGGAGCGTCATCACTCACTCAGTAAACGTTCCCAGACCGGGAGGGCGTGGCCCCATATTGGCCTTGCACCTTTTTGTTCAGGTTTTCATTTTTGCCATGTGGTTTGTGTGGCCAAGAAAAGGTAGCACTGAAGGGAGCCATGGCGCCCAAGATTGTGAACCAAAGAGGATTCCCAGGGCCCTCGTGGAGCGTGGAATCGATTTGAGAGCGGCTCGCATGTAAGAGACATCCATCAAAATATTGGGTATCTCTGGAACTCTTGCACAGAGACTTGTAACACCAGACTAAGGTTTGTAACGTGTCTGTGCTCACCTGCCAAGCTGCTCTGGCCCAGTCCTGTCATGAGGCTGAAACAGAACCAACATCTCCTGTGTTCAGGCTGGGCCGGTCAGTACAGACACGGCTGCAGAGCCCAGCCGGCACCCTGTTTCCTTCATTTCCCGAGCTTTCCTTTCTTGATGGGGCTCATCTCGTCCGCCTTGCCTCTCTCAGAGAAGCCCATCCCTGCATGTGAATACGGCTGGCACCCTATAACCTGTCTCTCCTCCCCAAAATACAAACATGGAAGTTGAAAGCAACCATGCTTCCCACAAAAGAGAACTGAGGATTTCCTGATACCACACTCCACTCTGTTGTGCTGGACAGAGGAGGGGAACTGCAACCTTAGTCTAACCTTCCTGAGTTACTTGCTCTCTCTGCCTCCGTCCGTGCAGTCTAGTCAGCAGCTAATAACATTTGTCCCCTACCTCCTGCAGGACAGTGTGAAAATTATCTTTGCAGATACTCACATTGCCCTGGAAAACATCTGCTAGGCAAATGCAAAGCATCATCATTAGCACGGATGTCAACTTGCTGCACAGCTCTAGGCAGCCCGCTGAAGTTTGCTGGGTCTCAATTTAAAATTCTGTAAAATGGGAAAATATATTATAAAAGCAGAGAGCTACTATGAGATGTAACTAATTAGTGTTTGCAAGGCACCTTGAGAGCCTTAGATGAAAGGCATTTGGAAGATGATTATCATAGTAAACATTATTATTGACTGGATATTGTGCCCTGCCATGCATGAGGCATTCTATAAAACCCAGGAGGAGTTACAGCCCTTGAAGGAGAGTAGAACAGGTATTATTATTGTACTTGATTTGACGATGAGTCCACACCAGGATAAAACTATGCATAAAGTACTCCCCTAAGAGGGCATAAATCACCTGTTGTCACAGGGTAGCATTTTGTAAAACACCTCTTGCAGTGGACTCACTGATAACCTGGCACTTGGAAAGAGTTCATTTAACTTCTCTTCACGAGCTTTTCACGCCCAAAGCCTATTCTGCTCTCCTAGGCTCCTTTCAAAAAACAAGCTCATCAGGATCTTTTTGTTGGCACCAAGAGGCCTGATGTGTCTTGTACCAGCCAGTATGCTAGGGTGGAACCAACAGTCACACCTCATGGTGCAGCCCAAGAGAGAGAAAAATTAGCCCATTGTGCCTACACATTTGGTACCCTCCCAAGCTGATTGTGTAAAAAGAAAACTTGAGAAACAACTGTAGGTTTTTACAGCATGGGATTATTTCAAACCAACAGGCAGCATCCACAAGGCCCTGGAAAGTCCCTGCTGGTGCAGATCAAATCAAACACAGGTCCTTCTTCCCTCCCTTTACGAAGTCAACCCAGAGGACCACGTGAGCTTTTGAAGCTTCCGAGTCCCTGATGTGAATTAGGATGGGCCAGAAAGGGGAGAATTTGGGGGCTTCGGCCTGAGACATGTCCAAATGCTGATTCTGCCCCTCAATAGATGTGCAGTTTGCATGAGTCACTTCAACCTCGGGGCCTCCAGCTCTCCAACTGCAAAGTGAAGATAATAGGAGGACCCACCTCAGAGGGCTGTTGTGGGCAATGAATGAGATGATTCATGCCAATTAGCACGTTGACTGGCTTCTATTAAGTGCTCAATAAATGTTAGCTGCGATTGTTATTGAAGTGACTCAAGACTTTCTACTCTAAATTCCATGCCCTCTTTTACCCCCTTGTTAATTGAGTGCCATTCAGAGATGGTCCTGAGGTTCCTGATTTCTGCCGGGTTTTGTTTGCCTCTGAAGGATCTGTGGCCATGATTCCAACGTGGACTTCTTCCCAGCATACGCTGGCTGCACTGCTCCCTTCTGGGACCCTTAGGGAGCTGTGAGTCAATTCTAGGAGAAAACTCCCTAATGAACATCACTGCTCCAAAGACCAAGTTCAAAGGAAAAGCACACAGAGGGGAAGAGCCTGGTCCACTCCCCCAGCATCATCAATTCTTCAATAACTATTATGTCTGTTCTTCTTCCCCTGCTTCTCAGTCTCTTCCCCCGCACAAATGTTGTCACCTTGGGTCTTGCAAGGCTGGACTTTGTCCTTTCGTTGTGAAGCATTGAGCCGATCACACACATTCCTGTCTTCCTCGCCCTGTACAGGGAGAACACACCTGCCACCTCCAGCACACAGACCAGGTGGCTCCGTCCTAGAAACAGTTTCAGCTGATGTTGCAAGCAAGCGAGGAGATGAAAAACGAGGTCAGAAAGCACATCAGGGACTAGAGGTGGGGTGGAAAGCAGAAGGCCGGCCACCCAGCCCCGTCCCTGGTCTCAGATGTGTCCTCTGACGGAGCTGTCACACAGATGGCGGTTTTGCTAAATTTGCAAGGGGATCAGAATCAACCCAGGCCCCTGAAAACAGCAGGCAGGTGCCACCTGAGATAGGCACTAGGTGGCAGGTGGAGGAGGACGTAAAGGGAGAGACCAAGGGTGAGAAGTCAGGAAACACAGATGGTTCTCTGGATTCACCAACCTTTGCAAACATTGTTAAAACCACATGGTCCCAAATTGGCACTGCCCCCAGCCTCTCTCTGCACATCCTTCCTGGTTATAATCCCTCTTTGGTTATGCACTGCATTGTTTAAGGATTTAAGGTTTTGTTATATACTGCATTGTTTAAGGATCAAATGGCCCTGGGTTTGTACTGGGATTTGATCACTTGGTAGCTGTGCAGCCTTAGGCAAGTCACTGGACTTCTCTGATCCTCAGTTTCTATATCTGTATAATAGAGATAATAATGGTGTACATAGATCATAAGGCTATTGTGAGGTTAAATGAGACATAAACAGAACTTAGCAAATGTGTCTGGACATAATAGGTGTTACTAAGTGCTGGCAACAGTAAATAATACAACTGTA